ATATTTTCCTTAAATCGATGGTGGTTCTTAAAAGCAGTATTTGTTCAAAGAGATTTCAGGAGGTAGGGTGGCTTGTTGGTTAAGCAGCAGACTGGGGAGAATCGGGCACATTTTGATCCCAACTCTGCCTTAAAAATGTTTCCTGTGACCTTGGGTAAGTCACTTAACCCTGCTCCTCAGTCTTCTTCAATCAAAACCAGGCTGCTCGTGAGAGTACGAGCACATTTATTCTCAGTGACTAAGAGCCTGCACCTCAAAGCAAATGGAACCTGCAGGTGGCACACTGGAAGGAAGGTGAAAGGTCACATAAGCTGGGGCAGAACTTCTTTCCCTTTTCTTCTGGTCTCTTAGTCCAAATAAGTCATCTGCTGTTGGAGGCTTATGCACTAATGAAAGCTCTCTGGTGGTAAATCATTTTAAATTGGCAATCGCTTTGGCATGCTGAGGTGCCGAGCTTGGGAGAGGCACTAGTGCCATTCTTTCAACAAAAATCAGCTTCAGTGTCTGACCTATTTATTTAGAAGTAGACACCACCTTGCCAGGCATGAAAAGATTGGAAATGCGCACAGCTTCCCTGACCCTTATAAGCTGGGGCACATCCTCACTCACTCACAGGAAAAGGCTGTTCAGTTCTGTGTCTTCTTCCTTCCTGTCAGCTAACATAGCAGTTGTAGTTGTACTTTGCATACTAATTAGAGAGCCATCAACACTGAGGTTCAAAGGCTTCCTGACAATGCCCTGTCCTAGTGGTATCTTAATTGGTTGAGTGTAATTGTCATTATGCAGGAGCCCTGGAGGAAACCAGTGTTTCCTACCTCCTCTGATACCTGCTCTTGGTTCTGGCCAGTGTGTATAAGAGCACTTGGATCACAGTTAGGATTTGGTCCAGGTAAGCTCTGCCCCAACCAGTGTTCTACAGTTGTGAAAATGTCTGTATTTAGCATGAGTTCGCCTCACCATGTCCACTCCCTGTTACTATCATCCTCTCTCTGTGGCTCTCAGAGCCTGCTGCCCAGCGGGCCTATAGCTCCTCAAAGGTGAAATTTATTCTGTTTTCTTTTATTATTTATTTATTTATTTATTCATTTAATGTGTATGTGTGTATTGCCTGCATGTAGGTAAGTGCACCTGTGTCGTGCAATGCCTGCAGGGGACAGAAGAGGCTGTTGGATCCCCTGGAACTGGAGTTACAGACAGTTGTTAGCTGCCGTATGGGTGCTGGGATTTGAACCCGTATCTTCTACAAGAACAGTTAGTGTTCTTAACTGCTGCGCTCTCTCTCCAGCCCTTATTCTGTTTTCTTTAATGGAAGAGACAGTTGTTTGTTTCCTCCTGAGTTAGTTTGCAGCAAAACCTTCATGTTCTCATGCTCTTTGGCCATGAAGATGAATTGATTTAAGTGGCAGGCTGTAGAAAATTTCACATTCATGGAAATAGAGTTTTCCTGTTATCTCCTAAAACTATTAGTTGAGTCTGTTAGGAAGTGAACATAGACGTCTGCTGTGTATTGGTGTGTTCTAGGCACCTCACTCCCAGTAGTACTAGAAGGTAGAGGGAGAAACAGGAGGTGCTGAGCAGCCTATGAGAGCACTGCCTTTCTAGACACCAACTTGTTCTTAGCATTAGTTGTCAGAGCCGCAGAGTCAGAGGCCAGAACTAGGACTTCACAGCCTGAGTGAGAGGAGGTCTGTCCAGGTGGAAAATGGTGATTGTTCAGATAAAGGACACAGTAGCCCATCAGCAAACCTGAGGGAGAGGAGGCCTGTGCTGGCCCAAGGGAGGAGCATGAGAACACTACCACTCTGGTGTGCCTGGGCACTGAGCACTGGAAACATGTTCAGGGGTCTTTAACTACAGTCTGGTGGAGCCTCTGGGCTGGGTGCTGAGGAGGGAAGGCCTCCAGGAAGGTGGTAATGGACTGAGTCAGAGGCAGAGGCATTAGGAAACTTGTTTAGAGGCTTGTGTGAGAGGAGAGAAGGGCTTGTGTGGGGAGAGTGGTGGCAGCTTGGTGGTAGGGGGTGTTCAGGAAGGCCTTGAGCTTGAAACTTCAGTAAGGTGATCAAGTGAGACTTGACAGGGGCTTCCTAGGTGTCTCATGAGAGTTGCTCTGATCTAAGGGATTGAGTCATTGGAGACAGCTGTGTACTGTCTTACAGGAAAGGAGGCGAGGAATGATTGGTAATCAGCACACGTGTGCCATGAACCATGTCCAGGCTGCTGGCAAGACTGCTCTTAGTGGGGTTGTGTCCTAGTGGACAGGGTCAGTCAGGGCAGTGTTTGCTGAAGGGCTTGTGAGCTCAGGAACTGGAGGGCTTGGAATGAACAGGGCTGTCGGCAGGTAGGAGAGCAGATGAGGCTAAGGATAGTCTCTGGAGATGCAGAGAAAGGGGCCTGGTGCTGGGACATGGTACAGAAGGTATTGGAGGGACCTCTGCTTTTGTCCTGGTGACCTGGGACTGGTGATAGATACCACTGACAAAAGCAGGGATTTGTGAAGAGACTAGGAGGCTGTGAGCTGCAGCTTTGGAAGGAGAGCACGTTTGTCTTAGCAGAGTTGGAATGTAAGCATGACAACTTTGTTCAGGTGAGGAAAGATCCTCAGCCACATTCAGATGTTTAGCAAAGCGCCCTTCTCTCCCCCTGCCCCCATGAGATGGTATCAGCAATTTGTATTTCATAGCTCATGTCTGTCTGGTTCAGTAGTGGAAGCATGTTTTTCCTTGTTTTTTTTGTTGGTTTGCCTCAGAACTCTGTTGAGGGCCAGTGAATTGGAGAGTCCCTGAGAGCTGAATTCAGTCCTCTACATCCTGCTCTTCCCATTGTGGCCCCAAGGAGATGCCAGGGAGAGTAGCTTGAAGCTTATAGATGTGAACTGCATAGTAAGAAACAGACAGCCAAAGCTGGTAGGAGCAAATACAGTTCTTGGTTGTGTACTCTTCCCTCTTGAAGTTCCTTAGTGTATTGATCTCCCAAATTTGCTTTTTCTTTCACTACTTACCTTTTCTCTCCTATCTTTTTCATCTTTCTTTTTTTAAAAAAATGCATATGAGTGTATTGCCTGCATGTATGTAAGTGCACCTATGTGCACATGTCATGCAGTGCCTGCAGAGGTCAGAAGAGGATGTTAGATTCTCCTGGAACTGGAGTTATGGATGGTTGTTAGTTGCCATGTGGGTGCTGGGAATCGAACCCAGGTCCTCTGCAAGAGCAGCCAGTGCCCTTAACTGCTGAGCCAGCTCTCCAGCTCCTTTCCATCTTTTCTGAACTGACAGGTTCCTTTCACATAGAATTTAACCTTAAGACTCAATCACAATCTGGGAATGGAAACATGTTAACTCTTTCATATCTCTGTAGCTGAAACAAGTGGCTTTACTTCAGTGAATAGTGTCTGCCTGCCCTGGTCATGCATATTTCTCCTGCTTGACTCTTTATGCCAGTGTACTGCTCCTTTCCATCTTTTCTGAACTGACAGGTTCCTTTCACATAGAATTTAACCTTAAGACTCAATCACAATCTGGGAATGGAAACATGTTAACTCTTTCATATCTCTGTAGCTGAAACAAGTGGCTTTACTTCAGTGAATAGTGTCTGCCTGCCCTGGTCATGCATATTTCTCCTGCTTGACTCTTTATGCCAGTGTACTTTCTGGATGAGAGAGAGAGAGAGAGAGAGAGAGAGA